AACGTGAAAAACTTTCGTTGGACGAATTTTCTTGTAAAGTTCATATTTACTGAGATATCGCACTTTGACGCACTAATGAGCAACCCTGTATATAAGGTGTGCGGTTGGTGCCGTTCGTCGTTCGTAGTTCGCAGTTGCCGCAATAAACATACGAGCGCGCACGTATCCATGTATAAATCCGACGTTGCCTAAAGTTCGTTCGCTCGTCGTTTCCATGCCGTTGGTATTTAATCAAATTTTATTCCGCCGGTGCTTGTCGTTCGTCGTGTAGTTGGCCACAGTGACGGAGTGATTTGAGCCGTGTTTTGTTTATGTTGTTGCCAAGATGGCAGAACAAGACAATTTTATTGAAGATTCTGATTTTAGCAGCTTGCTAATAGAACTAATACAAAATCATGAGTACTTATACAATTTGGGGCATAAGGACTACAAGAATGCCAAGAAGAAACGCGATGCCTGGGCTAAAATAGCGGCCGCACTAAATGCATCTGGTATGCTGATGGTACTTAAATAGAAATTCAAGCATGTTAGAAACTGAATTATTTTCAGTTGATGATTGCATGAAGCAGTGGAAGGGCATCCGTGACAAATATACGAGGCAAAGGAGGGATGGCTTCAGATCTGGTTCATCGGTTGGAACCCGATGGCCCCTTCACTCGAAGATGTCTTTCTTCAAAAGATTCTCTAGACCGAGAAAGTAAGTAAATTGCTCTCTTAAAATAAATATAGCTCATTACCTTTAAGATATATACTATACAGGGTGATTTAAGTAATTCGTGCATTAGAAGTTTTCCAACTTGCAGTTGTTTGAGAAACTTTAAATTTTGTTTCCGATCATAAGGAGTCGGGCCGAAACCATGTAAAATACATTTAGCCCACTAGATATACAGGGTGTACCGAAACTATTACCTAACTTTCTTATTTTAAACGCAAACCCCAAATTTCTTAAGCATCGTTGGATTGGCCATTTAATGGCGAGTTTGGGTAACCGTAGTTTTTAACTTATTTCTTATAGTTTTTGGTATATGTCAGTTGTTTAAGAAAAAAACTGCCAAGACAGATTTTTACGGAACAAGCCCATACCAAAGGAACGGTTCTAAATTCAAAACCGAAATTTGGTAGGTAGTTAGCTGAAAAAAAATGAAAATAATTATTTACCCTCCTGCAACTGAAATAGAATAACGTTTCTGTGTTCTGAGGATCGGTGTGACCACCTTTTGCGCTGTGTTACTATATATTAATGAATCGACAAAGGCTCGCCATTTCTTTAAAACAGCCCTTGAAATCGTGTGAAAAATCAGCGTCCTGGAAAAGGCCATTATCCATTGCGGCTAAATTCCAAAAATGATATAAGGTACGATTTTTCTTCTAGGAAAAAACATATTAACGGTGAAAACCGTTATTAGCCGTTGAGAAAATCAACCAATAGGATATCACAAAATTACTAGTGATTTTAGTTTCCAACATACTCTGTGATCTGTGTGGCCAAGTGCGTTTAATTTTTAGAGATAGAAAGAAAAATGGGTAAAAGGGGGAAATATTCAAGGCAACATAAAAGACAATGGGAGCATGAAACTCTATTTCGAGATGCGACTAATACCAAGATTATTATCGATATTATTTTGAATGTAAACTACCTTCGTTCGGGGTGAAAAACAAATATAATTTTGAAAAGAAAATTTTCAATAAAATAATTTAGAGTCTTCCGTGTATCTTTTATCGAATTCCATAGTCAAATTCAATAGTCCATACACTTTTCATTATCCCCTATTTTGTTTTGAGTATGTATGGAGTAAAGGTGGACGACCCTTTATAAAGCGTTAAAAATCGTCTTAACACCTAGTACAAGGCGTATTCTTATTTTTATTAAGTTTCTCTTCTTCTTGTGAAATTAGGCATTGTCCGCTATGTTTCTTCGTTTTGATTCCTTTTTTCTTATGGGGTAAAGTGGATCTTGGAATTTTATAATTTTCTGAAGCAGTCTTAAACTTTTTCTGCCTTGTCGAATATCTTCGAGTGCCCTAGCGACGTTTTCTTCATTATAGTTCTTAAAATTAATACCGACTTTCTTTTTATACTGTCTAATCATGGTGTCCGCCGTCACCTCTATAAAATGACTTTTTTTTACTTAAAACGCAATTATTTATGACAAAACACAATTATTTATGACAAAAACAATATTTTCTAATGAAATTGCCATGGGGTGTACTAATAATAGAGTACATCAAAAAAAATAACTCATTTTATTTTTTTGTTTATAGTAGGTATTCTCTTGTGTGTAAAATGTGATAAATCATTATCTATTTAGATGTGGCTATGCAAACATCTGTTGTTGTTAAATACCGAAACTACCCTCTGAAATTGTCATAAACATTCTAGGGGTCGCGAGTGACGTGTTACACGGTGTTGCCGCAAGTTTTCAACACTGTTGCGATTGTCGCCACAGCAGTTGCAACTTTGGGCGACAAATGAGCTCGGCAGGGGTTTCGGAAATCTGGTCACACTGGTTACGTACCAAATTTGAGTTTTTAATTTTGAACCGTTCCTTAGATATAGCTGGTTGCAAAAACATCTGTAATGGCATTTTTTTCTTAAACAATTGAAATGTATGCAAAACACACTGTATATCTAGTGGGCCGAAAAGTGTCGTTTTTCGACGTTTTTTTCAATCCGTCAGGAGTCGTCGGTTGTCGCAGGGCATGTCGGTCACTTTTTAATCAAAATAATTTAAAAAATATAATGAAAGTGATGCGTTCAATTTGTCACATTTACTTTTGCGCACATGTGTGTTTCGTAAACAACTGTAAGTCAGAAAACTTCTAATGCACGGTATACGTAAATCACACTGTATATAAATTGAACGTGTTCTAGGTTTAGAGCGTCCAAGATAATGCCCTCAGAGCCTCAAGCCAGCGCTTTAGATGCGACTGCCCGTGTCGAAACTCCGCGAAAAGGTATGTTTTACTAGACCTGTTTTTTTTTATAAACTTATCTGCTTACAGCAAAGAAGCGAAAGGTGGGCACGGAAGGGACCGAACGTGTGGTGATTGCGAAAAGTATTGCTGATGGGTTGAAGGCACCCAGTAGCATTAACCTATCATTTACGGAACACCTGTGCCACCTTCTGGATGCTATGACTGAGGAGGAAGCTGCGGCCAAGCGACGACAACTTATTACATGTTTCTTCCCGGAATAGTTTATTTTAGTTTTAGTACTCGTAATTTTTTACTACTCTTTCATTGATCGTATTTGATTTTATTAAATGTTGAATTTCTTATTAATAGCCTGACGTTCAGTGGACAAACTGCCACAATATTATTTCTGGTGATGTTATGGGCTGAATTCATGGATTTTTGGGTTTTCCTTGACGAATTTTTGAAAACCCCGCGTTTCCTATCGGCCATGACTTGCCTTAGGAACTGAAAAATCTGGGAAACTTCCTCCAGAAATTGCATATAAAAGTGAGTTTTTTCTCACTTAAAGCTACGGATTTTCTCTTTCGATATATATTATAGACAGTCTTGGGGATTTTTCGTATTTCTTTGACAAATTTTTGAAAAATCCGTGTTTACCAACGGCCAATCGCCTCAATTTCGTAACTCAAAAAATCCTGGAGGAATTCCCAGAAAGATCCTATTAAAGTGCTTTTTCCACACTTACAGTAGCGCATTTTCTCCTTCGAGTGATATTATGAACCGGATTGTTGGATTTTTTGGCTTTTCAAACACCATTTTTCCAATTTTTTGAAAAATTGGTGTTTTTTCTACGGCCAATCGCCTCGCCTTAGTATTTGAAAAATACTAGAAACTCGCAGAAATTTCCTATTAAGTGGGCTTTTCCTCACTTAAAACCGCGGACTTTCCCTTTATACTTATATTATGGGCCGGATTAAGAAATTTTAGGTTTTTCCTTGGCGAATTTTTGGAAATCCTTGTTCAACGTCGCTTCGATTTAGTATCTGAAAAAATTCTGAAACCTTCAAGAAATTTCTTTTTAAAGTGAGGTTTTCTTCATTTAAAGAAGCAGATTTTCTCTTTAGATTGTTATTCTTGGCAGGCCTCAGAGATTTTTGGTTTTTCCTTGACAATTTTTATAAATCCGTCTAATCGCTAAAACGGTCAATCGCTTTCTCTTAGTAACTGAAAACATCCTCGAAACTTCCAGAAATTTTCTATTCAAGTGAGTTTTTCCTCACTTAAAGCAACCGATTTTCTAGATCTTTTTGGACGTTAAAACATGAGTGACAGAACTCATGTTTTCGCATCGCCTAACTCGACCGCCAGTGTGCACGAACCCTAAACAGCGCATTTTCTCTTTCTACTGATATTATGAGCCGGATTGTGGGACTTTAGAAATTTTTGAAAAAATCGAGTCTAGCCTTAATAACTCAACAAATTCTGAAAACTTCCAGAGATGAGAGAGAGAAAGAAAGTGAGTCCAATTTGAACTCTAGAAAGATTTTCTTCAGGGATATACCATCAGAACGGTTTTTTTTTTAATGATTGGTTCAACTTTTCTAAGTAACTTTTCGAACACCGACTTAGTCACTGGTTAATTAAAAAAAAAATTTGCGTGTCCATACTTTACATTTTCTCAACATATTGAAAGTTTTCCTTTTTATATTTGTCTATTGATAGGCCTGACTTTAAACCGCAGTATCTGACACTCTTTCTTCAATAGCAAATATGAAGTTAAAATGAACATAAAAGCAAGTAGCTTGCATCTCCACATTTTGATATTAAAATAAAAAGAAAAGAAGAAAGTGTGTATTGTTGGGTAAACACTACACACAACATATTAAATCATATGGAAATACAATCTGTCAATCTGACCAATCCAATTCCAACGTCGGCAACTGCAAACTGCGCAATATAAATCATGAAAACACGAACAACAGTATGGCAATTGCACGAACGATGAATGGCACCAATTGCAGAGTTTATCAATCCAGATTAAATGGCACACATTTGAACATTTAATTTGATTGTTGTTCTGTTTCTTGGAATAAATTGGTTCTTTTGAGGGCCACAGAAATTTTAAAGAAATCGTGGCTAATAATTATTGATAGGTGCAATCGGAAATTTCTCGGCAACTGTTGAGGTTAAGTACATATAATACATGTTATCTGAATCATACTTCAATGGAAAATTCCAAATTGAAATAAAAAGCTTCCAGTTGAAAAGTTGATGTTCGTAGCTTATATGGACCACCCTGTATAAATAAATTTGGTATTAAAAAATTCGCATTTACAAATAAAAACTGACGGGTCGGAGCATTTTTCCAAAAATGTGCCGTCTAAGTTTTAAATGAATTTTGACATTACTTCTGGGCCTCACTGTAAGCATCGGTAACTCAGAGAATTTTCAGGACTTGGCGTAGTGATGTCGAGACGGCTTGGTGCGCCAACTCAACGCACCGGCGTTGAGGTTAAATGTTAAGCGTAATTCAAAGTGCGGCACGATGGGTCATGTCTCATTAGCGCATAGAGCGGCAACAACAACACAGTGTTACCCATACACTCATTGTATATTTTCTTTTTATGGGGAGGTTGAGATTTTTAAGGGAAGAGGTTTATCTTTGTTGCTATAAGAAAGGCTATTCGGTTTTGTTCCAACTCTGAAACTAACAACAAAAAATAAAAATATTGAAATTGGAAATTTTCAGTTTTCTTCGCCGGAAGAGAATAAGTTGGAAGCGAGAGTTCGCATCAAAACTTTCAAAGAGCCATTTTATTATTTTTTATTTCTTAACGTTTTCCCTTTCCTTCCTCTTTAAATTATTCTTATTATTATAATTAAATCCAACTTCGTATCACTTTTTCAAGGTGTTCCATTGGAGTGAAATAGCTTCATTCCGCGTAAACGGTTGGAAATAAAAATAAAAAAGCGACAGAGAAAATAGGAGCAAAAAATGTAATCAAAAGTATTTTTTAATTTTGCGATCTGTGTATGATAACATTATTTTCAAATATACAAAGTATCTCAGAAAAGTACTACGATGGTTTTTCAACTGACACACGCAAATGTTCTCTTCATTTTTAAATTCAGCATTCAATTGGTAATTATTTCATACGATACAACCATTGACGATCATGTAATTCTGTAGTTGACCGGAAATTAAAATTTTCTTGCGGAAAGTGACACTTTCAAAGTATCTTTGTCAAAATTAATTTCTCATAAAAGGTTAATGCTTCTTTTGTCGGCTGTTGGAGCAAGAAATGGGCTTTCTTTTTCTTACTTTAAAATTTCATTTGTTTCTCAGATGTATTGTATACAAATTATCACAGTTTAAATATTTCAATCGACTGCAACAATTTTTTTAAACTTAAAAACCACAATCTTTTTACTCAAATTTATTCGACATCTTATTCTTCTGTCTAAACATGAATTTAATTAAATTGCCCAACGAAAAAAACACAAAGTTGAACTCGGTAGAGCACTTTTGCGACATTCTGTACACATGAAAATCATTTTAGTATTCAGACTGCAAAACTAAAATACCACTATATTTTTATTTTTTGCCTATCTAGACGTAATGAAGTTATTTCATACTAATGGGACACCCTGTATAGGAGAGAGTACACCCGCAAAATGCCACAAATATAATACGAATCGGCGTATTCTTGTGCTGTAAAATAAACATTTCTAATAGTGTCAATCAGCACAACTGGGAAAACTTAACCCTTTGTATTATGAAAACGCTTTTTCTAAAAGCTAATTTCTAAATTAACTTTTTACTTTGTTACAACTGAATATTACATATGTATACCAAGTAGAGGTATTACATCAGGAGACACCCTGTAAATACCACATAACGATAGATAAAACGTTCTAAGATTTAAAATAATCTTATCAATTGTTCTCTTGACATACCGTCAACGAAACTATTAGCTTCTACCCCTTTACACTTTTTTTCAACAATTTAATTCTTAGGAAAGAAATGTCGAATCTGTGAGATCAGCGAAGGATGAACGAGTCAGAGAAATTCGAAATGCTGTTGAGCTGATGATAGCCAGACTGGATTCCCAGCTTAAGACGAAATTGTTGACATTGATGGGCCAAAAGGATACCTTAACTCAAGTACTTATAATTATCTAATTAATTTATATCCGAAGGTTTATTGTTCATTTTAATAATATTTCCTACGCCCTTCTTTTACTCAGTTCGATGTTTTCTTTAATGTCAATATTTTAAGAGCAAGACATAAAACACACTTAATTATAAGAATTTTAATTAAAGAAAGCACCCGCTATACTTTAGAAAATAATTGCTTATTAAAGTTTTGAAATTCTAAATAAAATTTGGCCTAATTGCCCAGAGACTTAAAGCAAAAAACCAAATAAGAAATTTTTGTTTTTCGCCACTTAAACGAGGGCCCAGAAACAAAACCCATTTCGGCTGAGATTGATAGGGATTGTTTTGCTTGTCTTCATGTTCGCATTCAGGATTTGCATTTTTTTAAAATTCAGTATGTATTTTGGGGCAAATGTGCTAATGATGTCCTACATGGTTTTTAATTAACGTGTTTTTATCAAAGTGTTAATGCAATCAGCAGATACAAACATTTACAAATATTTTGTGTGCCAATCGTTATTCAAATTATCAAATAATCAATCAACTGTATAAACTTTAACACTGCTCATTCAAAATTACAGATCATTACACATCTTTGTGTTTAAACGGTATCCAAAATTGTAGAAATCGACGCACAGACGAGTCACACGTCTTTGACTCACCAAGTATTTTTTAGTTAAAATAAGTTTATTTAAATGCAACAAAATTGCATTATTTTAAGGAAACTGAACAATTAGAACACTTGCTTCATGAAATTGAACACCAATTGCATACCTGCACTAGATCGGAGTTGATTATTAAAAGCGCGGAGCTCTCTAGAATGATACACAATATTCGAAAAAAACCTATGACTAGTTTCGTCACAGCTCCAGTTCCTGCCGATTTCCATAGGTAAACTTTAGCAAACCAGTTATGTTAACTTGATTTGAACAAAAAATAAATGATTTTTAGTGAAATTGTTCCGGCCTACAGTAGTAGTACTTTCGTTATGCATGGGTTTACCCAGTTGCAAAGAAAAGCTGATCCAGTTTACTCTACACCTCTTCACTGTAATGGGCTATGCTGGAGGCTGAAAGTCTATCCAGATGGAAATGGTGTTGTTCGTGGTAATTATTTATCAGTGTTCTTGGAGCTAAGTGCCGGATATCCAGAACCATCTAAGTAAGTGTATCAATATCTTAATAAAATGTAACATAAACTTAGCGAGTCTAACAGAAATTAATTTTAACTGAATTTGCTAGACTAGACTATAATTTGCACACATTTAGGTACACATTTATTTGTATGGTTTTTTTTCGCCCAACGCTTACATCGAAAACAATATTGAGCTAAGTGAATAAAAGGTAGTAAATGTTTGAACTAAGACATTCTTAAGCAAATAATTAACAATGTCAAAACAAATTAAAAAGGAAATGTTTAGTTTCCCAAGCATTTATTTAATATCGCGCGACTAATGCGAATTTTATGCTTTACCACCCAGAATAAATAAAAATGTTGCCAAGTCCAACAATGGTATATTTTATATGAGTACGTGCCAAAAACATTAATAAATAGACAAAGCTAGTCATTCATAAAATTGGGAGCAACATTAAATTCTGCCCATCGGCAATTTGTCAGTGGGAAACAGGTGGTAGGGATGAAAGTAGTAAAAGTAGGTACCGATCGATATATTGACAGAGAGTAGAATTAATCGGAAAATCAACTCGCCTGGCAGCTAGGCATAGGCCTAGTAATTTCCTGTATTAATCGATTTATTCTAAACATGAAAGGTTCCCTTGATTTGCTGACTTCCTTCTCTACATTATATGTTTGAAATTCAACATGCTATAAGAGTAACGCAACGTTTTGTCGAACATTGTTACGGTTTTTACAGGACAAACAACCAGTTTTTAAAGGAAAAATTTATGAAAAATTAAAAATCAAATTCCCCTGTCCCTGACACTATCTGCGTAATCATTCACTTTCAGAGTGCGGTAAGTTGGTTAGATCATTATATGTTTGCCTCGTGAAATTTTTGTAGATTTTTTCGGCACCTTTTATGTAGTCGACCGTTGTTTCCATTGAATAATAATAAAACCCTACACTATTTCCATATTATGTCTTGTTTCAGGTACGAGTATAGAGTAGAGATGATTCATCAGACAGAGCGCGATTCAGATAAGAACATTGTTAGAGAATTTGCCTCTGATTTTGAAGTGGGTGAATGTTGGGGCTACAACAGATTTTTCCGCTTAGATCTATTAGCCAGCGAAGGATATTTAAATGTGCCATTAGACACTTTGGTGCTGAGGTACGTCTACTCTAGTTTTCCCATAGGTAGTCAGCGTATTATTTTACTTGCTGTATTGTTTTCTAATTGGAAAGCTTTTATATTACTTCAAGGTTCCAAGTTCGAGCTCCTACATTTTATCAGCGTTGCCGAGACCAGCAATGGTACATTAATCAATTGCAAACTGTCCAAAACCAATATATATCGCAAATAAATGAATCTAAAGAGGTGCGTATCATCATAATGAGGATTCAAAGTTTGTTTTATAAAATTAAATTTCAGCGTTTAGCTGCTGAAATATCAAGAAACGCAGTAGCGGCTACTCTAGGCGCAAATTCCCAAGGTGATATACCCAGCGTTGCTCTGGTTAAAAGCATGTACGCTCTTCAAGCTTTACCATCAACCGTCACCATCGATGCGGCTATTGATAGTCGTTCTGTACCTAGTTCTTCTCAAAGTAATGTGGCGGAAAAGTCTTATTCAACCGACCTTGCCACTTTAACTAGAAATGTAAACGCTGCTGTTGCCGGATGTAGCACAAGGTAGAAGTGAAAAACAAACGACGCAAAACAGCGGTTGTATTACTTGTGCTTTCAGCTTGTCCCAAATGAAAATTACCTCTACCGGCGAGTGTCTTTGTAACTCAAAACCGGTTCAAAGCAATGCTAACAGCAGCAGTTCGACGTCCGCCTCTTCAGTTCAAACTCAAGTAATTCATGGTAAGAAATCGAATGGCTCCGAAACAACAGAATCTTCGCATCACCTCCTGGGATTGGGCGTGTCTTTGAGTTCTCCTAACTTGCTGAACTCTGCTGTCTCACTCATGCTTAGCAGCAGCAGCAGTAGCGAAAGTGTAAGTATTCTAAAATAATTTGTCAAATTCTGAGAAATTTATATTTTTTATTCTGCAGGATCTTAGTGAACCTGAACCTTTAATTGAAGAATTCGGATCTCAGGAAGCGAATCTTATTGTGGGAGACAACTCTAATGACGAGAATGATGTCGACGTAGAGGCTATGTCAGGTTAGTAGTGGGTGTTGTTGATTAATTTAATTTTTGCTCATCCCGCCGATAATTATGAGATTATTCACTATAGAAAACTTGAGATTTGCTTAGAATAATTACAAATAGCTTATCTTTAGTGAACTGCGAACTTATACTTTTAATATCTATTCTTGACGACATACTCAACTGGTACTTTCCAAGCGCAATTATGAAATTATATTCGGTTCATATAGGAAATGGAGATTGTGGAAACCTTTCTTGCGATTCATATGAGTGTCAGAGCCCTGAACGTGGTAATCATGCAGAAAAAGATACTCAGCCTTCTTATGACTTTGAAGAAGCATAAATTTGAAGCAAAGAAATATTTTTTGTCAACCGAAGCTATTTCTTAAATTCACCTTGTAAACATGCACTTTTGCTGCTATTCTTAAAATAAACAGGCATTTCTAATATAGATTGGCGAACATTTTGTAGGTTTATATTTTAACGTTTTACTGTGTTTCAATGGTATAATAATCAATGTTAGATTCTACACTTTACTCCCAAGCTGCACTTTAAATTTGTTATTACTATAACTGACGATTTGATTCTCTTTAAATTCACTAATTCAAAAAAAAATTTCCTGAAATGATTAATCCCCCTCAAGAACTTTGCAAGTTAACGGAATTATGGTGAGACCATTGACTCTTATAGGAAATTTAATATATTTGTAGTTTATATTATTTCAGGTGAAAACGATGTCGAATATGCCGAGTTTTCAATGACTCAAGGATTGATTAGACGAGATTCTAATTCGGCCGCAAGCAGTGTAGCTGGCGCTTCGGCACTGTCTCCTGCTAATTTAAGCATCAGCCTTGAAGATCAATTAAAGCTGTATACCCTCTTTGATGATGCAGACAACAGGCGCCAAAATTTTGGCAATTTGAACGGTAATACAAGAATGTATCACATATAAACGAGATTCATCTTTTTTGTTGTTCTATTTTACAACAGTTGCTAGAGCGTACTATTTTTCGACATAAGATCACGCCCTGAAAATGCATTTTGCACCAACTCAATCTTGATTATATTTGCTATAATCTTGTACAGGGTTTCTCCTCATAAGTTGACACCCCTCCTAGGACACATAGAACCTGTTTTATTAAAAAAATACTTTGTCGTAAAATTTTTACATTTTTATTTATTTATTATTATTTATTATTAAAAAATTTGATTAAAATTTAACAACTTTTGTGTTTGCCACTTTTACAATTTTTTTCAAATAAACGATCTAGGGGGGTGTCAACTTATGAGGAAACACTCTGTACATAATGGCATTGCTAGGGGTAAAAACCGTGGAATAAAAAATTTCAAGTTTAAATATGAATATCTATTTCTGAGCCTATTATTAACCTTCGTAAATAATAGCCCCACTTTTTAAAGACTAGAAGTACTTTGAACGAGAACAGCTTTATAGTTGCGTATATATAAAATGATATCTATTAATTCAGGTGAAAATCATGTGGAACTCGATTTAAGCGACGTTTCTATGAATCAAGGTTCGATTAGAGACAACTCAAGTTCCGCTGCGAGCAGTACGGTTGGCGCATCGGCACTCTCTCCTACCAATTTCTGCAGCAGATTGAAGGAAAATTTAAAGTCAATTAATTACTTTGATTTACCAGATACTAGTCGCAAAAATGGTAATAATCTGCAGGGTTATTTATTATTTAGTTACAGTGCTTTAGTAATACTGAACAACGTATCGACTCTTCAATTACAAGTTATTATTGCTGAGATTTAGTATTGATCAGATGTATTGAAATTTAGTTACCTAATTCGAGATGGTGTATAAGAATATTACTTATACTTATTATATAAGAAATTTCTAAACAACAATGCGTTTCTAATTTTAACTATTATTAAATATTACAATTTTTTAATTTTTAAAGCAGCCGTTCCTCCAGCCTCCACGCCTTTATTGGACATGACTGTGTCTAATATTGACCTCGCGCTTATGAATCCTACATTATCAAGATCATCCGAAGGTGTGTATATTGTTTCAAAATGTTTAGTATTTTGATTTAGCTACAGCTATCCAAAAGAGTCGCAATTTTGAATATAGAGGTGTAAAACAYTATTTCAGACCAACAACGGCCTACACTGGACAGAAAGAAACTGAAAAAAAGATACGTATGCCCTGATGTTCCCCCGGTTAGCAATGTTGTGGGTGATACGTGGACCGAAGTCGTACCCATTAATACTAAGGTATTTAAATAATGAAATCCGCAGAATACTTGTTATCTTTTATTGAACTTACTCACTTGAAATAATTTAGTTGTGTGACTGATACTTGCGGTGGCATTTATGTTTTCGATTATATTTAGTTTCGACATACGCTTAGTAGGTAAATATTAATTAATATTTCATATTCGAATATAAAATTAGATACTTTTGTATCGCATTCGGTTATTGTGGAGTTTGCAAGTGAATATCACTAATAAATTGAAAGGAAATGCTATAGTCAATGTTATCGGAAAGCAAAACTTGTTACTTTTGATGCGACTCATTATTAGTAGAATACGTTATATTTAAAATAAGCAACAAGGAATATTGTAGGAATCGGTAATGGGTCCGCTTGAGTCTTTTTTACGCTCAATAAACTGTTATCCAGACCATGAACAGAACCGAAAGAAAGAAAGTGTACCAAATGAGCGAAAAAAATATTCAAGATCTAGTCAGCTCACTTCATTGCTTCAGTCAACTTTGCCTCCTCCTCCTCCTTTAATGTGTGATGGCTCAGAAAATGCGGGACAAGCTTCAAACACTGGTAATAATTTATATTTTTCAGGCAGTATTCAATATTTTCCTTAATATATTCGGCTCATGCGGCTTGAAAACATTCGTATTTTGAATACTATACCTGAATTTTATGTAGAATTTAGTTGGACCCCATCTCTACTGAATCAGAGACGCCCTCCTAAAACTCCAAAGACTTCGAATGGAGATAGTCACCCTGCACCAGAAAAAGATGATAAGAAAAATAAAAAGTAGGTATCTTTCCAAATTAGTTTTGCAACTTTTTATGTTATTTTAATCTGATCTTTTCTACAGAAAATTAATTATATTTTAACGAAAAACTAATTGTTTTGCTTTGCCGCCCAGAAGCAGCACCTACCTACCGTTTGACTCAATGTAGATTTAACTCTAAAATCTCATATTTATATCTCATGTCGCAGATTTTCTTTTTTTTTTGGTGAGGACCACCAAATTGATTTTTTTTTCGTGGGGATGTAAAAACCGAAAGGTAATGTTTTGTTTATTAAGTATTCTTAAAAATGAGCATTTTAAGGTTTACTCTTAATTAAGGGTTTTCGGAACCATTTGAGCTGCTAAATTAGTAACGTAAAAGTGAGCAGAAGCACAGGATGGTTTTGAATAATATGCCTTATAAAGTTAAAGCCGTTAAAGGCTCACTCAATTTTAGTAGGAAACATTTACTCGATAGGATGGTTTCATGAAATATACAGGGTGATTCACAACTGGCTTGGAAAGTACGAGAAAAATATTGAAATATATTTTTTTTCCAAAATATTATAAGATATTAACAAATTGAATGTGAACTTTGTTAGTAAGCATTATTTTAAAATGGTCCCATGTTTGATTGATAGCCATTGGAATACTTAAGCATTCGAAGCGAAAAATTGTGGTATTTGCTTCAAATTACGAACATTTTTGATATTAAAAAAGTTCTCTTTTGCATTTTTCTGATCAAAAGTCAAAGCGGCGATGATGTTTTTTGTCATTAACAGACAGTTACAGGAAGATAGCCCTTCTCTTACAAAATGTACGCCAATATCGAATATGTCATTAGTTATGGCGAAATGCCGCATTAACATAGCAGAAGCTGTAAGATCTTACGCCAAAAAAGGTCCAAGGCTCTGAAGATTGGCCCCAGGCAGATAGTGGACGACAATAGATGTTCGGGTTCCAGGCACAGAGGAACAGGTATTGGAGATAATTGCAGCAGAGTATTCCAGAGGTACTCAGAGCATTGCACAACCACTGACACTTTTCTATGCACTAAATAAAATCGAGAAAAAGCTACATTCCTACCACGAATGTAAGATACACAGAACACAAGGACACATTAAACCAATGGTTCGCTGAACACCGGTACAAACTGAGCAGGAGTTAATCAACTGAATACGAGAAGAGTGCACAGTAAGGTGATTACACAGGCACTAACTTGTTTGGAGTTAGATACAGGGATGTATGTTTATTTGTATGCACATCAATTCGAGGTTATGGTGACAACAAAGAACAATTTGACATTTCGAAAAAGGAGATTCCTAAATCTAACGAATCCTGTTGAACTTACCGTTTATCCTTATCTATTTTATTGTCACTTTCATTATTTTTCCATGGCTACCGGAGTTTTTAACAATAATGTAGATTACCTTGAAAAACATTGTTGCCATCCTGCTGATTTAGTTTTTTGAAAATTTCTTAGTATTTAAAAACAATTCTTTTTTAGATTATTTTTGTACTCCTAAAACACCTCCAGACAGAACCTCCCGAGGAATGACGCCAGTTTTGAATCATCCTGTATGTACTTCCGAATAAATAGAAGAGTAATACCACAAAATTGGCATGAATTTATGAACAGACTATAATGCATATACTTTTACAAAATTATATGTTATTATGAAGATTATTAGACATGAGAGAAGTTTTAACACTATCTTAGTAAACAGTTGTTTTAATGTCTTATCCCCTGTTGGGTTWGTAAAATATGKGTCATTCATRGAGCATCAAAAATTAGCTTCATTCCGCCAAAGATACTGTTCACAACTTATTCTAGAGTGGCTGTCTTAAATAGAGTATTTGTCGTGTTTCGAGCAAGTTATCCGAGCTTGATTAAGGAGGATGCTCATGCATTCCTTCAATTGCATTATAATGCACAATTTGCATCATATTGACTGCTAACATCTTTCAGATACAAGTAAATGTTCATTTTTCCCGTACTATTCTCCAAGCATAAAATAACCGCCCTAGATTTGAAGGGCGGTTATTTTATGTGTGGAGAATGGAAATAGCATAGAATTTTATACATGGTTTTAAATCTCTAGAAACTAGAATCTCTAAAGTTAACATTCTTAGACAGTTTACCCTGGGTACTTAAATAAATATTATTTTTTTATTTTTCAGATCAGATCGCGAGTCTCATTCATTGTAAACGCTAAGCGGGTTGTAGCTGAAAACCATATAAATTTTCTTAAATTAGTTATTGAATTTATGTCGGTATCGTTCATTCCATTGTGTTGAATATGTGTAGTTTTAAATTTAGGCTGTGTACTTTATTATTATTATTGTTATTGTTTAAATTAGGAACACGCGAATAATCTTTTAGAAAATTGTGCTGCTTATTGGAAATTGTACTTTTTTGAATAAAAATTTATAATTATTAAGCACAAGAGAGCTAATTTCTACTGTCTGATTAATTGAAACGTATTTCCTGTTATTTCCAATTGTGACGGTTGAGTTGAGTTTTAGCCATCCACTCCTCAATTTTCTTTATTAAAAGCCAAACGGTCGCAATCAGTAATACAAAAAAAATTGTGCGATTACGTGCTATTTTTCTGTAGGGGGTGGGGTCCAGTGATGTAAGCGATTTCACTGTCATAGTCCTCAGTTCTCATCACTACAGTGACATTTCTTAAAGTAGAATAGTAGGACAATGATTTCTTTATTTTCGTCTAAAGTTCTCAGTGCTTTATAACATTATCCCGCGCTGAAATATTGTTTTTTTGCGGATCAGATGTGAATACGGGAGGTATCGTGTAACGTGCAAAACCCTCAAAAACTAATATGAGATCAAATTAACCAAATTATACAGGTCGGTCATCGACAAAATCACAAAATTTAACCAAATGCAGGTCCAACATAGTAATTGTTATATAAATAATCGTATAATACCGATACCACCGCAAGTCAAGGCCCGACTGCTCTGTCGTCACCAATAGGCCGAGCCGGTCCGAAACCATAAAGTAAAAAGTTCAATTCGTCCGTCGTGTCAAACTGACAAATCTCCTACCAATAAAAAATTCGTATCATCGTATAAACTGATGCATGGAACAGAGGCTAGTCTACTCTCACAGCGAAATAGTCCTCGTGACGTCAGACAAGTCGGGCCTTGACTTGCGGTGGTATCGGTATTATACGATTATTTATATAACAATTACTATGTTGGACCTGCATTTGGTTAAATTTTGTGAAGTGAACTATTGGAGATTTCTTCCTCACAAAATGATTAACATCTTTGAATTACATTTAGAAATGTTTTCCGGGCTTTGAAGCCGTGGTCTATCGGAATTTCTTCCTGACGT